TTAAATTTCATTTATCACAATCTTATGTTACTTCTAATCCACATCCACAATCTAAAACAAGGGAAGAATGGTTATATGCAATGAAGATGCAATCTTATCGTGCTGCACTAGAACTTTTTATTCATAATCATCTCCCTAATTATATTGAAGTTCATTATACAGGTGCAATTCGAGAACAATATTCAAAATCATTTGGTGCATATTTGGTTCGGGCATTACAAAACATTAGACGACACGCATACACCTTTACTTTTAAAGACCCAGGTTATAAAGATGTATTAATTCAATGGATTGATGAATTTCTTAAAACACCTGACGCTATTCAACAATGCAATGAATGGTATAAATCTATAGGAGCATGTGATGAAGTTCTTTTCCAATGTATCCCATTCATTTTATTACAAGCACGACTTTCTCAAGTTCTTGAAGGGTTTGTATGGGTTGATAGAGTCTTATTTATGAAAGAGTTTTGTTCTTCTGTAAGTTGTAGAAGATTGTTTCATCCATTTATTTCACCACGAGGTATTCTTCTTATCGCACATAAATAATTATTTATTGAATAATAAGTTCAATTGAGCAAATCATATCCTTATTTGTATTTGTTTTTTTAGAATATTTTTATGAAATTACATTAATCCTTTTAAAGAAAAACAATATTATAGTGGTTTAATTATTTTTTCTTATTGTTAAGACTTTCTTTTTAATTTATGATTAAATAAAATTTCAACTTCAAAATATAGTGATGACTGTGTTGGTTGTATGTCTTAATCCTGTCATTCAAAAAACTATGATTTTTAAGAAGTTTCTAAAGGGAGAGGTCAATCGAGCCAAAGAATCGTTTTGGTGTGCTAGTGGGAAAGGTGTTAATGTTTGTAGGGTATTACAACAACAATCAATCCCTCATATCTTACTAACTCAAAATAATGGTGAGCACTCACAATGGTTCACCCAGTTATGCAAAAAGGATTCAATTCAACTAGTTTCTATTCCCATTGGAGGAATTCGATTTTGTACAACAATCCTTGAAGATGGAAATGCAACAGAACTTGTAGAAGAAGGTATTCCTATTTCTCAAGAAGAAGTCCACCAACTCCTTCCATCTTTTAAACAGATTATTCAATCCCACTCAATCTCAGTTGTTGTTTTCACAGGAAGTACTGCTCCTGGAATACCAAGTGATACCTTTCAACAAATGGCACATATCGCTCATCTTCATAACTGTAAGGTTATTGCTGATACTCGTGGAGAGCCTTTATTATCTCTTATGAAAGAACATCCAGAAATTATCAAACCAAACGAGTCTGAGTTCATACAAACATATGGGTCATTAGATAAAGCAAAAGAAATAAGTCAGTTAGGTACTACTGTTATTATCACTCGAGGAAGTAAGCCAACAATTGTTTATGAAAATGGCATTCGTTCAGAAATACCAGTTGAACAAATTAATTTATTTGTTAATCCAATTGGTTGTGGTGACTCATTCACAGCTGGATTATCTGCGTCATTAATCTCATCTTCATCTTTATCAAATGCTATTACTCAAGGACATCACTGTGCTGCTAGAAACATTGAAACCATCACACCAGGGTCATTGATTTAAATTATTTTTTGTTATTCTTTAGCCGTTCGTTCATCTCCACTGTAATGATCAATATAATCATTAAACTCCTTTAATCGTTCTTTTATTAGTTCTTTTCTTTGTTGTAATTGATTATATTGTTGTTGTTTTGAATGGTAAGTCTTTAATAATTCCTCTATTTCTTTTCCTAATAATTCTTGCTCTTTGCGACTAGCATTAATAAACTTTTCACATTTTTCAGCTTGTTCTTCATAAAACTCTTTGTCACGTTTCTCTTCATAAAAGAAGCAATCTTTATGAATATCATCATAAATAATAGAAGCTGATGCCATTTTTATGTTTTTGTGTTAAATGGAATTTGTAGAATATACTAGATCTAATAAATATAAAATGAAAAGAGTAGTTGTTGTTGGTTCTTCAAATACTGATCTTATTGGATATTGTGAACGTTATCCTCAACCTGGAGAAACTATTCTTGGTAAGTTTGTTATTTGTATTTAATATTCTCATAAATCATATTAAAAATTAGAGAATTTCATACTGGGTTTGGGGGAAAAGGAGCAAACCAATGTATTATGGCATCTAAATTCAATGATGTTGAAGTCTCTATGGTTGGATTCTTAGGTCATGATCAATTTGGTGATTCAACTTTACAAAACTATAAAGATAATGGAGTTAATACCAGTCAGATCCATTTTTGTAACTTACCAACTGGTGTAGCAATGATTACTGTTGATAAAACGGCACAAAACCAAATTATTGTTATTCCAGGAGCAAATGAAGCACTTACTCCTCAATTTGTTTGTTAGTTTTTTGATAAAAACTATAGTTTTTTTAGTCTTATTAAATAGATAAGTACCAACGCTAATGACATTTTTAAAAAAGGAGATATTGTTGTTTGTCAAAATGAAATTCCTCTTGAAGCCACATATGAGACATTAAAACAAGCTAAACAACATGGTTGTCTTACATTGTGGAATCCTGCTCCAGCACCAAAAGAGATTGATCGTAATATCATAAAATATGTTGATACACTAATTGTTAATACTAATGAGTCAATGCAAATTGGAGGTGAAAATACACCTGAAGAATCTGCACTTAAACTGCATAAAGAATTTGGAGTTCTTGTTATTGTTACATTAGGAGATAAAGGTTGCTTAATTGTTGGAGAGGAACAAACTAAAATTGATTCTGTCCGTGTCAATGCCATTGACACAACTGGAGCAGGTGATGCGTTTGTTGGAAGTTATGCACGTTGTTGGGCAATTGGAATTGACCCAAAAAAGTCAGCAGAGATTTCTGTTAGAATAGCCTCGGATTCTGTTACGAGACATGGTACTCAATCATCGTATCCAAATAAGGAACAAATTCAGAAAATTATTTCTGAAATAAATTAAGTAACTTTCAATCATTATTATTATTTTTATTATTATTTTTAGATAGCAGGTAGCACGTCTGAAACACCACACACAAA